GGCTGGCTTGGGTGGGCTCCGCCGCCAGCTCCTCCTGCCGAAGCCTGTTCCGTGTTGCATAAAATAACGCAGAGGAGAATTCCAGCGGGGAAGGGGAGGACGTGGCTTGAAGTCCCAACTAAGAGCAGGTGCAAGGTCTGCGTAGAATAGTCCAGAGCCGACAAAATGCAAATTTGTCACTGCAAATCTCGGTACTGGTAGAACCGAACAGGCCGATTTGCTGTAAGCATCGGGACTGTTCTTTTCGCCTGTCCCCTCGGCGCTGTCGGCCCAGTGTATTTTCTCGCCGAAAGCTCAGCTTTTGCAGCAAGAGGTTCTTTTTAGTTCTTTCCGCCACCGAAGAAAGCTTCCTCCTTGCCAGCGGCGAGAAAGCGAATGGATTTTCCAGTCCCTGATTCTGAATTGAAATTCAAGTTAGTTTTCAATTAAGGGCTGAAGTTTTAAGACGCCCGTAACCCCTCCCCTTCTCCCCCCTTCGGCATCTCACGCTCCCCGGGAAGGATTAGCACGAGTTTGGAAAATGAATGTTAATTTACCGCGATGGGTGCTTTTCCCCTTCTCCAGCTGAGGACTCGGACTCGGCTTCGGTTCGCGAGCGAATTGAAGATGGTAGCACACGTTACCGCTGCTCCTGAGGAGCTACTTATTTTTAATTGACTAAGAAAAGAGAAGCGATTAGAATATAGATGAAAATGCAGCCACATAATGAATTTTTTAACCACCACTTGGATCTGTCAAGTAGATTTTTGCGGCACAGTCGTGGAAGGATATAGCGTAGCCAGATGGAAGTAAATCGCTGAGAACGCTCGGAGCAGATTTGACATTTAACTGTCGAGAAAAAGAAAGAAGGAACTTTGCTGATTTACAGAAATCTTGATAAGCACTTAAGCCAGGATCCCGATTATTTCTGTTTATTTACGCCTGCCGCTCTGTGCTGGGGAGGCGGATGCCTCGCCTTCAGCAGAGAGAAGCGTAATACTCTCCTGGCTCACGTACGCACCGGTGTACAAACGAGGCTTGCGTGACGTCTCGGTAATTGAGACGAACCCCTAGAAAGCGCCGCGGCTGGGAGAGAAAGGAAGAACCCACCAAACCGCGGGAAGGTCCGCGTTGTTAGGGCGATTCTACGCTCGCCTTTACCTGGGTTGATTTTCCCCTCCCGAGCGGCGCCCTGCGCGTCAGTCGGGCCTGCTCGAGGAGGTACCCGGAGAGAACGGAGGCGAGGGGTGTCCCAGCATACGGAAAGCCGGTACTCCGGGGCACGCTGGGGAGCAAGCAGTCCTTGGAGGGTTTTGCCGTTGAGCGTTTCTGGAAGTATCTTTCCCGGCAGTGTACTTCTGATTTATGACGGCTGGCTCTTTTTTGCAGTCTGGCCTTACGAAGGCTGTGAAGGAGAGCAAAATTTCGTTGCAGCAGGCAGAGTACGAGTTTCTGTCCTTTGTGCGCCAACAGACGCCGCCGGGTCTCTGTCCCCTTGCAGG